CTATGAGTTTCATGTACAGTATGGACTGTCTTGTGTTGAGACAATATGAACGGAGATCAAAGTTGCGTCTGAAGTCGGTAAAACTGCCAACAGCCTTAGAGAGCCGACCATCGTTAAGAAAGTGGATGACAACGAAACAAAGCAGAAGGAACTAGGTGACGAAGAATGAGAAACAACAGATGGCTAGAATATTTACGGTAGCGTACCTACAAATTTATTTAATTTTATAAAAGTAACTTCATGTTGATGGCCAGTTTTCAGTTACGATGGTTTCGTCAGCAAGTTTCCTCGCCTAAATCCTTGAGAATTATTTTGTTAAGGACAATGCCCGTTGAAATTCTCGTCCCAGTAGGCTGTTTGGCGCAGGATGTGCACAGAATGAATTGTAGGAAATGGCACAAAGAGAGTCTCTCTTGAGAAAACTCTCAGGCCGCATAGGACTTACGCCAACATTTGTTTCGAAACTTAAAATCTGAAAAATAAGACATGCCTTAACCTTACAATTAAATGTGAATATAAAGGGACATACAGTGTCCTTTAATGTTCTTTACGATTTTAATACTAAGAGCATGTTTAACACTTTTTTTGTCCAAGTTAACTACACGATTATTTATTTTAATCCGTCTGATCAAAATATAATTTTTTATTTAAAATTTCTTATAATTAAGATAATAAAATATCATTCATGTTCCATATCGATTGAAAAACAAAAAATACAATAAAAAACATTCTCAAACAAAAACCACCAATAGATATAAATAATCAATACAACTTACCAGGCATATACAGATTAAAATGTAAAGATTGCCCCTTAACATATATAGGTCAAACGGGTCGTACTTTCACACACAGATACAAAGAACACATCGCAAATATAAAACACAACAAAGATAATTCCGCATACGCATAACATATTCTGAATACCGGACACGCATACAATACAATAACAGAAACAATGGACATATTAAAAATAGTACAAAACAAAAAACATAGAGATACAATAGAAAAATATCACATACAACAAACATTTAAACAAAACATTTGTCTAAATGATAATAACATACACCTTAATAACCCCATCTTCAATGCTCTACAGATCATTAACCCCAACCCCGACAGCCACCTTTCACTTACTCCTTCCACAAGCAACCACAGTCAGTATTGACCCACACCTATACGAAGACACTAGTACTTCTGGACATATCAGGACACTCACTCCTACATCTTTGGTATGTTTTATTTTTATTTCTATTTCTTTTTTATTGGTACTTTCTAACTATAATTTATATATTTTGCATTTTATTCTCTAAATTCTTTTATAAATTCTTTCAAATTCTTTAGTGTTTCTTTCAATCATTTACTTACAGGCCGATATGTACATCTAATAACATTTAAGAAAAACAACACCTTCGCC